CACAACACACAACACACAGCACGCAACACACACACACACAACACACATACACACAAAACACACAACACACACACACACACACCACACACAACACACAACACACAACACACAACACAGAACACATAACACACAACACACAACACTCAACACACAACACACAACACACAGCACACAACACACAACACACAACATACAACACACACACACACCACACACCAAACACCACACACCACACACAACACACAACACACACACACACACACACACACCACACACACCACACAACACGCAACTCACAACACACCACACACAACACACACACAACACACACACACACGGGCACACACACACACACACCCCTCCCTGAGATCCGACGTTGCAAAAAAGTGCGACATCGCAACAAAAATCACGCCTGGAGCCCTGGGCCTCATCTTCCTGCGTCATGTTCCGAGCTGGATCGATCTGTGAGGGCCCCGGGGCCGGAAATCTAGCGAGAAAGCGCCCGTTGTGAAACAAATTGCAACGCCGGGACCTCAGGGCTTGCGGGACCCCGATCCTACCGCCGCCTTCTCCAGCCAGTACGCGGCCCTCGGCGGGTCCTCGGCGCACCCCTCGCCGCGCAGGAGCAGCAGCCCCGCGTTGTACTGGGCCTCGGGCCGGGGGCGCCCCCCGCTCCGCGCCGAGCGGGGGCCCCGGGAGGGGGGGGAGTCGGTTCGGGCAGGCCCACGGCGGTCGAGCCTCGGCCGTGGGGCGCAGGTGGGGCCCGGGCCACACAATTTGTTTTGCTGATGGGCTCCCTTTCCACCACCACCACCACGATAAGTTGGAGGGGGGAAGGAGGTGGAGGATGAGGAGGAAGGAGAGGGGGAGGAGGACCCCCTCCCCCCTCCAACTTATGGTGGTGGTGGTGGTGGTGGACAACAGGCCCGTCATTTTCGTCGGCGGCGAGGCAGGATGGCCGCACCAGTGATAGAGCTCCACGGGGGCACCAGAGAGCGAAGTGGCCAGCGTGCAGGAGGAGGAGGAGGAGGACGGACAGGGCGGCCGCGGAAGGGGGGAGGAGGGGGGCACTCAGAGGCGGAAGACTTCTGTCCTGAGTGTGCTGGCGCGGCTGGCCCCGTCAGCGGGAACCATGGCAGCAGCCCGGACCACACAAGGGAGACAGACAAGCGAGCGTGCGGCTCGGAAGCGAGTCGACTGGCTCCTCCTCAGACCTCCCGCCTTGCTGCCCAGATCAACTGCTCCCTGCTGATGTGCGGACGTTATGGTCGGGGGGGGGGGACCTGGATGAACGGCCGAGCAGACCCTGGCCGGGCCGAAAGGGCAGCCCATGGGCGCAAGCTCGGCAAAGCCCTCGGCCGCGCTCCGCCTCGCCAGACGGGGACGGCAACCCGCCGCTGGGGGACAAACCGGTACCGATCCCGTTGCTTTCGGAAGAAGCGCCCATGCCGAGAAGGCATTGAAGCGAGACCAACCCTGGACCCCAATTACAGAGTTCGCGGCGGTGGACCCGGGGGGTGTGCAAGTCGTTTCGAAAAACTGCGACCTGCGCTCAGATCTCCACTTTGAGAAATCGGAGGCGCGGGGGGTGGCGTCGCTCTCTTCGGGGTGACCCCAAAAGGGGTCCAGCTGAAAAGGGGTGGTGCAGTGGGATTTGGGGCAATGGTATTGCAAATGTATTGCGCCGGAGCATTGTATTGCATTGTATTGCAAAGAAACTATTGCACGCTAAAATCCAGCAATACATTTGCGCCCCGGAATGTATTGCACGCCCTCAATGTATTGCAACCCCACAAATAAATTGCACCAAATCTATTGCGCCATCCCCTTGTCGCTGGACACCCTTTTGGGTCAACCCGATCTCTCCTGATACTGATGTTCTTGGATGGGCGTTTTTTTGTTTCAAAAATACCGGTGCCGCTGCTCCCAAGTCTTGGTGGTCTCTAAACCAGGTGGTGAGACACCCGGTGGTGACTCCGATTCCCCCCAAAAATAATTCTGGGTCATCACCGGGTTTGGGGACACGCGGTCGCCACGAGGTTTTGCGTTTCCTGGGCCAGCCAACGCTCGAAAACCATGACCCAAATCGCCCAAAACTCACCACCGGGTGTTCTCACCACCACGTTTGGGGACCACCAAAAGCCCTCTCCCCGGTCTGCGTCCTGGCAAGGATTCCGGAGGGAGAAGCCATAAGTGGCGACGAGGGCTCCCCAGGACGAGCGGTGGCATCCGGGATCTCTTCCTGTCATTAAGATATTGCCGGCGCTTGACGCTTGGGCGCTTGTCCGACGATCCGCAGAAACCTGCGAGAACCTGATGGCGCCTGGGAGAATTCGGAAGAATCTGGAAGAATCTGGGACAATCCAGAAGAATCTGGAAGAGTCGATCATCACCGCCATCATCATCATCATCATCATCATCATCATCATCATCATCATCATCATCACCATCATCATCATCATCATCATCATCACCATCACCATCACCATCACCATCACCA